TGGGGATGCAGCTCAGTGGTAAAATGTTCTGGACTCAATCTCCAGTGAGAGAGAGAGAGAGAGAAAAGAAATCTGACCAAGAACACACAGCTATAAATGGCAGAATCTGTAACTAACACAGGTCTCTTGGTTCCAAATCCAGCATCCTTTAAACCATCATCTTCCCTATCCTGGGTGTGTATACTCTCTGTATTGTAAATACAGAACACCAGAGGAAATGAAGCCATACAATAAGCACATATCATCCTGCAGCAGGACTTATACACTGTTTGTTACTTTTGAAGAAAAGCAAAATGAACACATACGAACACATACATACACACATACATAAAATAACATCAATCACAGAGCAGATTTCGAGAACTTACATCAATTTCAAAGATAATACATAGACCTGCAAAGACCTTCCACACTTGCAAATAGCCACCTGGGGTCTCAGATCTATAGGTGCTTAAGCCCTTACATAAATGATAAAGCTGTAGACGCACTGGAGCACAAAACAAAAACCAGAATTCCCGTGGCCCCAACACACTCAGGGCTTGGAATCAGATCTGACTCCCCCACAATGCTAGCAAGGAGAGACTGCTGAAATCCTACCTATTTTTTTTTATTGGTTGTTCAAAACATTACAAAGCTCTTGACATATCATATTTCATACATTAGATTCAAGTGGGTTATGAACTAAATCCTACCTATTTAACTATCTCCAACTTGTACCGCCTTCCTTTTTTTCCTTTCCCTGTCAATTCATGAAAGTATGACAGTGATCAATAAAGTACTTCCAAGCATAAAAATATGTTGCATTGGGATAGTCTATTTCATAAATATGCACGTATGGAGATAAAGGTACTAATTTTTAAGTGATGAAGAAGTTATCTATGTATCTTTATAGTAAGACCCATAGTTTTTAAAAAATGATATAATTAAAAATGTCAATATTTTTAATACTCTGAAAAATTACACCTTTTTCAACTATTTAAACTTAGGAGGAAAAATTTCAGAAACTTAAAATGTGTTTAGAGTTTCATAGAATTTTTTAGGAGCTAGAGGAACAAAATAGGTGGAAGAACATTGCTCTAGACCTTCATAGCCTTTCCAAGATGAAATAATGAGAAAGAAAATGAGCAATTTTCCTCCAACCCAGTTATGAGTAAGGAAGGCTGCAGGTGGAGCAGGGATTAGCATTCTGTCTTCTTAGTCCTAAACGTTATTTGTTGAACCTGGTTCTATAGCCAACAATTTACAAGATTGATGACCAGTTGGAATATCACCATGAATAAACAACTAATGTTTAAGGAGATATGTTTAATGTGGATTCAACATTATACAGTGAACATGTGTGTTGAAACATCACATTACCCTAATATGCATAATTTTTATGTTTTCATGTATCAGTTAAAAAATAAATTTAAGGACTAAGGATGTAGCTCAGTGACAGGGCACTTGCCCAGTGAATGTAAGGCCCTGGATTTGATCGCTACTGCTACCAAAAAAAAAAAAAAAAAAAATTTAATTTAAAAAAATAAATAAATTTTTGATCTTACTGGCCTCAATGACTGGAGTTAGGCTTGGCTAATGAGACATAATCCCAGTAAATCTCCCAAGGAAAACTACAAGAGTACTTTTCTCTGGGTTCTCCATGAAGACTTATGGGACAATACTCAAAAAGGCTCACTAATTTTGTATTTATCTTAGCATACAAACACAAATTTTAACTTTGGATATGTAAAATTGAATGCATCCATCTAATTGGCATTTTAGGAGTGACATGCCTAATACAGAGAACTGGATTTTTTTTATATACGATGTAATTAATATTTTTAAAATAGCAAATGTACTAAGGAGTCATCCCAATAAATTCCTATACACATATACCCTATTCCCCCAAATTCCACTTCTTTACTTTTTTCTGATTCTGTAACCTCTCTTCTTCCCCACTGCTTCTCTTTCTACCTCACCGGGAGGTAGAAAGTCATCTAAATATGATGAATGATGCCAGCACTTAATTCTGTGTCTATACTATTTTAAAAATATTGACTTTCCGGTTCTCAAGCTCTGAGAGACAGTGAAGCTATTTACAGCAGACATCAGACCTACTCCAAAACTACTCCCACCTTAGAAAAAGGTGATATCAGAGCCCAAGATAAGAGGTCAGACTTTAGGAGGCACAAAGTCCTATAGAAATCCTACTCCATTTACTAACTGAGTCCTTCACTTAATTTCTCTGAATCTCAGGTTTCCAAAGTCCTTAAAATGGGGCTGTTGAGGATCTGATGCAATATATATCAAGCTTCTAGAAATGTACCTGCATTTGATAGACACTCCATAATAAAGTTAAGAAAAAAGATTTCAAATGTTCTTTCAGGATAGCTTAAAATTAGCCAAAAGTTTCCTCTTGGCATAACGTCAACTAGTGGTACTTTTTTCAATTTCTTTCTAGTGTCTTTTAAAGCAAGTGATTTGGAAAATGACTACCTTTCACATCTAAGTATGGGGTAGGCGTGTGTGTGTGTAAAATGTACCTGCAGTACTAAAACTGGCAAAAAGATATACACAGAATGAGGACTCAAGGAAACTTGAGATTTCCCTGATAACATTTAAATATATGACCACATGTCCTCAACCTGTTCTAAGCCCTGCTGTGAAACATGTTCAAAAATAAGCAGAGAATTTTTCACTGGCTCTTTCAAAGTCTACACAAATAAAATTGCTAAGATAACACATTGCTCAACAAATTAGCAAAGATTTTAAAATCCTAATATTATAAGGATGTGGGCAGAGAGCAGTGCTCCTACAATGCCCATGTTAGTGTAAATGAGCATAACCTTTAGTCTCTAAAGCAGTGACAATGTATGCCAAGGATTTAAAAAGAATTCATAAGCATTCATTCAGCAAGGAAGGAATATATTCTAAACAAAGTGAGTTATGCACAGCAGTGTTCATTGTATCATGATTTATAGTAGCAAAAATTGAAGCAACAATGTCCACAATAGAGGACTAAATTCTATGGTTCAGCTATCCCAAATAATATTATGTAGCTATTAAAAACCATGCTAAGGAAGAGTGTGTAACTGAGAAGGGACCTTTAAAGTGAAAGAAACAAGGTAAAAAGCAGTATTGGGCTAAGACTTTGTTTGTATGTGCCATGGTGATTCTCAAATGATAATAAGAAAGGAAGTGAAATTTACAATAAAGAATTGGAATTACACATAATGGTCAAAATCCATTCCAAGACTTGAAAGGACACAGTGTTAAAACTCACAACCCACATTCTGATTTTAAAAAGAAGTGTGGGATGAGGACACTGCTGATTCAGATCCTTTTTATGAATGGTGAGGACAGGAAAGTGGGTAAGAAAACTAAGAGTTATGTCTGAAACTGGTACTCACCCTCTTCAAACTTGCAGTTTAATGAAGCTTTTGAGTGACTTTTACACCACACGCACCAATCTTGCCTAATTAAGAAGTTTTGGCAGCATGCAGATAAAAAGAAAGGTCACAAACGTTGAGGTCTCACAACCTTCCAATATTTACAATTTTACACAGTGGAGGAATAAATAAAACACTGAATACATACGCAGATTCAGACCTGCAAGTGCATATTTAATGCACAAAACTCTTTTCCACCCCCACCCTAAACAGAAATGCCTCAACATACAGTCTGTCCTCCCCTGGATTCAACAGCTATTGTATTTCATCACTAGTTTAAAAACTCCCAGTTTATTTCCAATGTCCATCACTGCCACCAACAATCAAGCAAGCATGCCAAGATTGTTTTCCAGCTTTCATGAATTTTCTTGCCCTTATTTTTCACAACAGTGCTTCAAATGTTTAATCTAATCCCAGATAAAAAAAATGGAATAAAAATTTCTTTGGATATTTATATGGCTCACATAACCCCAGAAAACAAGGAATAACATAAGAGCCTGTGACTCGAAATGACATCTTTCTGCTTAGTGCTATTTTGACTTGGCCTGTGTGTGGCCACAGCTCTATCTGCCTGCCTGTGGGCCTGGAGCCAGGCTGCCCCAGAGCAGAGCAGGCTTCTTTCTGCAAACAGTCTGAAATCCTATGAAGTCAAAACCCACTGAAGTTATGGTGCAAACAAAACCCAACATAAACTGCCACCTTACATGTCACAACTCTCAAAGTGAAAGAAACCTGCTTGCCTGATAGTAGCACATCTACATATTTGTTTGCAGATCTCACACTGCAGAGCCAACATTTGGGGGATATTTGGTTGGTTGCTGGTGGTCAATTTCAGGTAAGACACGCGTTTCTTGGTTCTGAACTCAAGATTACAAATCAATATATGTTTTAGTGACTTAAATTTTCTTCTAGCCTAGAAAAGCCCTAAGCTAATAATTAACCTTAAGCATACCAACACTTCTGCTGAAGACATTTTCTACACACAGCCCTAAAATTACTTTCAGTTGGGTTAAACAAAACAGACAAGCTGTAATAAAAGGTCTTTGAGAAACGTGATCCCTTCCATTGGTCACCCAGGAGCTTTTCCTCTTTAATCTGCTGCTTCTTGATGAAGGGGGATGGGGGCGGGGGCGTCAGGGAGAGCACCCAAAACAAGATGCCACCCAGAGCGCAATTATTTTCCTAAGAAAGTTGCCTAAGATAACTCCTCAGGGTTTCCCAGGTTGTGTAATTCTTGCAGGCGGCTGGGGAGGAACAGCGTCCATGATTACTATCTGCAGAGGTTTCCCCTATGTTGATTTAATTTTATTTTATTTAATTTAATTTTTAAGGCGTCCTTTTAATTACACTGCAAGGGCTCTGATTTCCACCTCTCTGGCTGCTGCTGGGGAGAGTTGATCGCAACGCGCCAGGGCTGCGACAGCCGCACGGGCCAACTCCAGCGCGCTCGGAGGGGGAGCTGGGGCGAGCAACCCACTCCCCACCGGTCCCACCCTCACGAGCACACGCGCGCACACCCGCGCCGAGACGGCGGTCTGCGCGCGTCTGCCCTGCGCCCCAGCCAGGACTCACCGCTGTCCAGCCGCGCGATCTGGGGCAGCCGGTAAGTGCTGACCAGCAGGTCCAGCGGCACGGCCACCGAGCTCCACTTCACATCCTTGAGGCTACAGCCCAGCAAGGGCGCCGTGTCCATCTTCCCCGCCTCCTCTGGTCCCGCGCTTCCCCGCCGCCGGCACCAGCGAGCGTCGGCGGCCGCCACTGCTCGCGCTCGCGGTCTGGGGCGCGCGGGAGGCGCCGGGCAGCTCTGGCCGCGGGGAGCCGGGGGGCGCGGCGGCTGAGGTGGCCCGGAGGGAGGGGGCCGGCGCCTGGCTCAGCTGCCTCTGCGGGGCATGGCTGGGGCGCCCCGCGTGCCCTCAAGCCCGGAGAGGACTCGGAGCAGCCCCGCGGCGGCGGGCGGCAGCGGCGGCCCGGCTGGCTGCGGCGGCTGCTCCCGCTCCGCCTCCTTCTCTGGCCCCGGGTCTGCAGCTGCGGCGGCCGCCCGCTCGCCTCCTCCTCCTCTTACCCCTCCTTCCCTCCGCCTCGAGCGTGTGAGGAGGAGCCGCGGGTCTGAGAAACGCCATAGCAGCGCTCCCAGCACTGACTAATCAACAAGGTGCGAGCAACGCCTGCGCAGCTCGGGGAGACACCGCCTCCGCCTCCGCCTCCCCGGCGCCGCCCGCTCCGCCTCCAGCCCGGCCTCCGCCTCCCGCCACTCCCGCCCTGCCGCCCGGCGGGTTCGGCACGGCGTCGGCTTCCCGGCCGCGGCTGCCGGCGCCGGCGGCTCGGCGCACTCCTCTAGCTTTAGCTCTCGCTCCCCCGTCCGACCGCTTAGGCGCCCTGCAGCCTCGCCCGGCGTCGCCGTGCGCCTGGCCCTTCCCGGAGCCCAGGAGGGCAGAGAGAACTCAGGGATCCTTCCCTCAGTCGAGCTGTTCTCCACTCCCACCTGGGCGACGAGCCGCTAGACCTTTGGGTGCTCCCCTGTTGCTGCCCAGAGTCCAAAGAGACAGGCCAGGACAGAGTCACAGACGGACGAGGATGGGAAAGCAGACGTGGAACACTGCTTGGCATTTACCCCCAACCCCGAAACTCCACAAACGGAGCTGGAAGTTACCCCAACCAGTTGAAGCTTTGGCTGCTAGGCAAGACGAAAAAGGTCGAAGCATCGAGAAGCAGAAACGTGATGAATGGGCAGTACCCCCCCAAAAGGACGGTGGCCATCCACTTTAGTAACGCCATTGTGTGAACAAGCTGCTGAAGACTGGGGGACATGAGGCCACACACACACACACATGGTGCCCACCAGGGTCAGCTGTTTCCACGTGCTTTTCCCACTTAGTTCTTGTCAATCTTAAAAGACTGGGATAGTTCCCAGTTTGTAGACATAATACTTCTACATTAGGCACTGGTCATGCTGGGATTGCTTTCCACGATAAATCTGTTTCTCACATTTTTAAGCATGGCCTGTACACTGCGGACACAGTATAAAGGTGGCTGTGTGATTCTTATTTCTTGAATGCACATCCTGGCTTGCATGGTAATTTTTCTTTAAACCTAACATTAAACTAGCAGAGGTAAGTGTTGCTGAGGTGAAAGGGTTGTATATCACCTCTGTTTTCAACACACATTTTCAGTATTCAGTGTTTGGTAAAAGAAAGCAAACATCTGCTTGGCCAGCCCAAAAGGCTCTCAAGAGATTCAACACCACCTGAGGGATGACTTCAAAGATCTGTGCCAATGAACAAGGAAGTCTATTTGTGTTTGCATTTGTGAAAAACCAAGGAGATTATTCTTCACCCAGCCTTCTGGTCCTCTCACTTTGAAGCATTGGTGATAATTTTCACAAAATTCTTCCACTGAAAGTTTTGAGTTTTATGTTATTCATGTTAATTTTTTTAAAAATTCTTGGGAGAAAACTGAGTATTTTGGTATATATTTTACTCAGAATTAGAGGTTCCTAATGTTCTAAGATTTGCTTGCATAAAGAAGAATATTTCAAAACCATAAAAAGTAAGGTACCAACTTTTTTTTTTCCTAATAATTATTCATTTCTGAAAATAAAGCTTAGACTTCAAAATGACACAGGAAGGTCTGGGGATGTAGTTTAGTGGTACAGTGCTTGCCCAGCATGTGTGAGGCCCTGGGTTCAATCCTCAGCTCCCTGGAGTATTGGGGGACCTTTGAGATTGGGCAAGGAAGTCAGGAGCACTTCAGCCAGTGAGTGGATACTAAATCCTTATATGGTAAATTGATTTAAAAAAAATAACTTTCTACTACTATTATATCCTCTTTAAAAGCTTCAGAGAATCTGAGAAGTAATTCCCTCTCACAAAAGGATTAGTAACTTATGACCTAAAGACAAGATAAAAAGGAAAAAGATTAATGCAATCAACTTTTTAAAAATCAATAAAGGTCTTACATTAGATTTGCTCTTACTGCTGACCTTTAAAAAAAGATTTCATTTCAATTTTCAGTATTCAATGGAAGACACTCTAATGAGCAGCAAATTCTTAGTCTCGTGTCCTGGAGGTGGAGATGCAGAGAGTTTTGGTTGAACTCTTAGAAACATCAACTGAGAAGGGTAATCTTTTGGTCTGGCTGAACTATACTTCCAAAGATGTTTCTGAAGATTGTTTGAACAATGGAAACTATGTATATAAAAGCATAACAACTGGGTTCCCCTGTGCTATAGTTTGGCTATTACATGTCCCTCAAAGGTCCATGTGTTAAAGGCTTGTTGTTCCCCAAAGAGGAGCTGTGGAAAGATGGTGGAAGCTTTAAAAGGTGCGGCCTAGTGGACATGTTCTTGAAGGGTATGGTGTGATCCTGGCCTCCTCCTCTTCCTCTCTTCTGCCCCCTGGCGGGAGGTTGATGGTTTGTTCTACCATTGTGCTCCTACTGTAATGTCCTACCTCACCACAGGCCCCAAAGCAAAAGGGCCAACTGATCATGGACTGGAATCTCCAAAACTATAAGCCAAAATAAAGGTTTCTCTCTTTAGAAGTTGTCTATCTCAGGTGTTTATTATAGTAACAGAAAACTGACTAACATAATGGGTAAAACATACAGTATTTTGCAGTTTATGGGAAAGGAACATAAAGTTTCCTGTAAGAAAAAAAAAAAAAATTCCTGTAAGGCAAAATTTGATATTCTGGTTCCTTGTTTCTGCTGAGTACTTTTTAAAATGAGATTTGTGAGAGGCAACATATTATGGTGATTAAAAATATAAATTCCCAAACCTGATTTCTTGGGTTTGCTTAGTGGCTCTACTCCTATTTACGATATTGGGAAACTCGTTTCCTCCTCTGAAAAATGAAGATAATACTAGCATTCATCTTAAAGGATTTATCATTTATGTTGACATTTAGAATAATGTCTGACATATAGGAAATGCCATAAAAGTCTTTGCCAGTACCTGAAATTTTTAGGACCAGAAATCTTTTGGATTTCAGATTTTTTGGATTTTTGAAATGTTTGCATACACATGATGAGATATCTTGGTGAATGAGAACCAGGTCTAACCATGAAATTGATCCTATATTTCATATATATCTTGTACATACACATAGCTTGAAGGTGATTTTTTCAAAGATCTCACTGCTGAAAATTGAAACACGGCTTTGTATATGCTTTGTATACATAAAATTGAAACTGAGCTCCCCTCGGCCTCCTGAAGGTAATTTTACACAGTATTTTAGCGTGCCTGCATTTTGACTTTGATCTGTCACATGAGGTCAAGTGTGGAGTTTTCCACTTGTGGCATCCTGTCAGTGCTCAAAAAGTTTTAGATTTTGGAGCACTTCTAATTTAAGATATTGGATTAGGGGTGTTCAACCTGAATTTATTAAAAGAGCTATTGGCTCTGGAGGGGCAAAATTTAGAGAAAAGATAGAGATTTAGATGTAATGAAATGATTAGATTTCGGGAAAAACAGTTGTATAGGTCATAGAACAGAAACACATTTCTCAAGTGGGAAACCTACATGTAGTAATTTAGAGTCTGCAGGATTTACTTGTTCCACAGTGAACCAGCCTACTAGCAGCAGATCCAGGCAGTGGTCGGTGATGACTGTTTCTATTGTATACTAAAGAGTCTACAGCTGTTATAAGTCCAAGAGGAAATCAGGCATTTGACACTAGAGGATTCTTAGGATGGACATGCCCCAGCTTCCTAACTCTGAGTCTACTATTCATAGATAACTTGTTAATTCTCTTAAAATATCATCTTTGCAAGATAAAAATATTATGTGTTGGTTTTCCTCATATCAGAGTGTCCTAAGTCACATAATATGTTGGGGATCAAATGTGATATTAAAGTTTACAGCCCTAGTTTTCTAGAACTCTAAGTTCGTTTTCTTAAATTCCATACTATCATCAGAGTTAACTTAAAAGTCACTCACTGCCTAAAAACCCATATAGTATCTGTATCCTCATTGTCTATGGGGTAAAGTGTAAAGTCCTTTGCAAAACATAAAAGTTTCTTCCCTTATGAAGTTTGGTCTGCTCCCCAGCCTCATTTCTATTGACTATCTTCTGACACCCTGTGATCTGGTAGTTCAGCCTTTTTGCAGTGACCCAATGTGCCATTCTGAAGCATGCCTTTGCAGGTATTGTTCTCTCAGCATAGAATGCCGTTCACCTTTCTGCTTACTGTGAAACACCTGTTACTGTTTCAACTTCTTGCATTCTGTGAAATGTTGCCTGTCCTTTACCAAAGAATCCCCTTTTTCTGTGATACTATTGCACCTGGCAATACCCTCTTTAACTATGCTAATTGCACTGTGATTTATTATCTGTTTTCATGTTAGCTTTCCCCAGAAGATGACAATTAGCTGTTGCCACTGAAAGTGTATTTTATTTACCTCTTTTTTTTTTCCAGCTCATGTTTCCATGCCTGGCACAGGAAACATGCTCAATTAATGTTTGTTGAATGGAGTAGTCAATGATCTGAGTCATCTTATAACTCTGCATTATTTCATAGGTCACTGCATCTCTATTATAAACAATTCATCAAGCCTATATCTTTTCATAACTTTTAAGTTCTAGTCCCATGTGGACAATGTTTCCTGTCAGATTGACCCCCTACCCTGCCCCCAGGTCTTTTCATTCATCTAAAAATTTGAATTTTTTTGAAATCAAGGTGTGCACTCTTATCACCACACTAGAGATTATGCTTCTTGACTAGCAGTTGCAACACTT